CTTTCCTTTTAATTTATGTCAGTCATCCAGTAGGATTCCACTAACGCATTAAAATCTTTTTATGTGATTTTCCTCTTTATACGAAGTTAATGATTCTTAGGATTATACTCAATTGCTTCAGCTGTTCAAAAGTACAGTCAGTATTTTATTTACCATTACATAATGTGCCACACAGTTCTAAAACAGCTTAACTACAAATGCCACAAATAGACAGACAGACATTCCTTTATATTAGTTTTAAGATTACGTCAAGATAATATGCAGGGTAAAACAAAATGTATCCACTTAATAAAATACACTTAAAGGAGTTTTGCAGGAGGAATTTGAATCTAAATTAAATAGAATCCGTCGGGCCTTGCCAAGTATAGGTGTTAAAAACAATGATTATGGGATTAAATTTTTACATAAATGATCTAAAACCCACTTTTTATAATAAAATCAAAGCCATTAATTCATTTACCTTTTAAAAAAAAAACTTTTTATATTGCTGGATGGAATTTTTTTCTTTTTGCCCAGTTGCACTAAATGTACATTATTTAACAAAAAGTGGAATCCGGCAGTAAAAGCAATTCTAAATAATCTTCTGCCAAGACATTCTCAGAGGGCAGCAGTACCATTAAGCATTGGAAAAATCAGCTTTATATTTAATTATAACTAACTTAGGGTCTTTACAATTTTTAATTTAGCGCTGTGATATAACGATTCCGTTTTCTTTTTAAAGACACCTCTTTGGTTTGATAGAATTAGAGAGGGCTCCACTGATCTAGTCTAACCTCACAGTACTGTTGAGGACACAGAGGTCCAGATAGCAGGAGTGAGATCCTAAAAGTCAAAAAGGCAGAGCCAAGAACACAAAGTACTGTGGTCTTTGAAGCAGTGTATACCTTGCAGATTTGTCATGTGGTTTTTCTTGGGGTAATTATAGTAATTTTTAACATGAAAATCATTAGAACCCAATTAGATTCTAAGAAGCTAATCTAATGTGCTAAGGTTTTCTTTTTGATTCCCCTTGTTCGCTTAGGTATGTCGATAATACATACCTAGAGCACTTTTCAAGTTTACAAAACATTTTTATGTTTTACATCTCACTTGACTCTCACAACAACATTGTCAGATAAGAAAATACTCTCACCTAATAGATGAGGAAACTGAAGCTAAAGGAAATTTAATAATTTGAGCAAATCATATAAATAGATGGCAGAGGCAGATCTGAACACAGGCCTCTGACTTCAGAGCTTTTGTTCTTTCTGTTCTGTCCAGCTTTACATTGCTGGAAGTCACTGAAAGTTGCTTAAGGATTTTTTTAAAGTCAGATTATTGTCATGTCACATCACTATTTAAAGAACGTATCTGGTCAGCCCTTTCGTTGTGTGAATAACAGTATCTTAAATTAATAATGGCCACCATATACTGAATACCTGTGGTCACACCTGACTCTACTCTCATAACCTATGAGGTATTGCCACTATTCCCGTAACTTCCAAAAGTGAAGTTATGCCATTTCCAGTAAGCAGTTTACACAGGATTAAAACTCCAGTCTGTCTGTCTCTAAAGCTCCTACTTTACATCTGCACCCGAGATTCAGGTTTCCATAAAGTAGAACATTGCATATGCTTAAACCAATATCATTCTTCATGTGCTACTTCTGAATTGCATACATGGGTATTTGTATTTATGTATTCAGGTCTCTGTTTAATGACACAGTAATTGAGAAAATACTACTATTGGTTCAAAAGCTCATAAAATTAAAAAGAAGGCAGAGAAAATAAATCAGTGGCTGCATATGCAAATATTATCATTGCTAGATGGCAGGGTCAGTTTTTTTCTTTGTAATAATATTAACTATACTAATGGATACTTTATTTAGATATAGTTGACATATAACATAATATTAGTTTCAGGTGTCTAATGGACACTTTTAACAAAATATAATCCATCTGACCTACCCATCTTAAGTGGAAATATTTAGGAAGTATGTTCAAGATAATGACATTATATTGTCTTCTGAAACATTATCTTTCATAATTACTAGTTAGATTCAGTATAGTTTTTATTTAAGTGTGATTTTATTTTGTTTTCGTTTTTAATATTATTTTTGCCCTTTAAATTTTTTAGAAGAATCTTTGAAGCTATACTATCAAAACTGAGTAAGACTTCTCTTCAGACCCCTTTTTATGTGAATTTATTTTGAAGGCTTATTTTTATTGATTTTTTATTTGCCATAGGTGTGTAGGAAGATATCAGCTATGTGAACTATGGGTTCGCCAAGCCTTCACGGGGAGACAGAGGAAAGAACTGTCCAGCTGCCTGTTAGTCGAGTAGCAAGTTCTCCACTGACTTCATGTCTCCTTTTAGGTGGAGAAATGGGCCTCCAAACCTTCCCAAGATCTGACATGCAAAAGAAAGCAGAGGATTTGCAAAATGGAAGTTTATTCAGGCTTTGAAGTTCTATCCAGTTCCTAGGACCAGGCCCTCACTGCTTTCAGTGGGGTATTCTAGTGTCTTTGGTTTCAGGTGGAGGTCTTTCCCCAAACAAGAATGTCTGGGCAGTCAGGTATTTGACAAGAGGTTCAGATTCTCATTGAGGCTGAAAGTATAAAGTTGAATTTCTAAACAAGTCTGGAGAGTATATATAATTCACATCCTATCATTTTATGCCATTACATATCTGAAGGAGTTCAGTATTTTCGAGTGAAAGTTTCAAAGGCAGCATGGATTGGACTTTAACGCTGATCAGAAAGACACAGTTATCAAATAGCATCCTCTGTTTCATTATTTTAGCTATTGCATGTCCCTTTTTAACAGTTTATTCTTATCTTTTTTTAATCTAGGTCGAACTGGAAGGTACACTCTAATAGAAAAATGGAGAGATACTGAAAGACATTTGGCACCTCATGAAAATCCTATCATATCCTTAAACAAATGGGGACAATATGCCAGTGATGTACAGCTTATTTTACGTCGAACGGGGCCATCTCTCAGTGAGCGACCCACTTCAGATAGTGTGGCTCGAATTCCTGAAAGAACTTTATACAGGCAGAGTTTGCCCCCCTTAGCTAAACTCAGACCTCAGATTGATAAATCAATCAAAAGGAGAGAACCTAAAAGGAAATCTTTAACATTCACAGGAGGTGCCAAAGGATTAATGGAAATTTTTGGAAAAAGTAAAGAAACTGAATTTAAGCAAAAGGTGCTGAATAACTGCAAAACAACAGCAGAGGAGTTAAAGAAGCTAATCCGTTTGCAGACAGAGAAGCTTCAAGCCATTGAGAAAGAGCTAGAATCAAATGAAACAGAAATACGATTTTGGGAGCAAAAATACAATTCTAACCTTGAAGAGGAAATTGTCCGGCTGGAGCAAAAGATCAAAAGAAATGATGTAGAAATTGAAGAAGAAGAATTTTGGGAAAATGAATTACAGATTGAACAGGAAAATGAAAAACAGCTGAAGGATCAACTTCAAGAAATAAGGCAGAAAATAACAGAATGTGAAAGCAAATTAAAGGACTATTTGGCTCAGATCCAGACTATGGAAAGTGGGCTTGAAGCAGAAAAATTGCAACGGGAAGTCCAGGAGGCACAAGTCAATGAAGAAGAGGTTAAAGGAAAGATTGGTAAGGTCAGAGGGGAAATTGATCTTCAAGGCCAACAGAGTCTGAGGCTAGAAAATGGTATTAAAGCTGTGGAAAGATCTCTTGGACAAGCCACCAAACGATTACAGGTAAAAACATTTTTATAAGGAGAATGTTTCATCTATTTAAAAGAAATAATATATTTTTGATATCTTCTTTAATGATTGTTCATTTTCTCTTACATTTAAAGTTAGAAACCCAGCTTAGTTTATAATTTTTTTAGAATTTTTGTGACTTAAAACCAGGTGTGATACCAAAACAGATCAGAGGTAAAGCCACACGATCCTTGCTGCATGGAAGGAGCAGTCTTACTATGGCAGAGGTAGCATTAAAAGTAATTGGATATAGGAAAATAGAATCTCAGAGCTGGAATAGACACTAATGAAGAGACAGTGAATCTGACCTTCTCTTTTTAGAGATAGAGAAACTGAAGCTGAAAGATTACCAAGGATTGGTTTACCAAGGATCGTGTGGCTAATTGGCTGCTTATCTGTCTCTTCTCCATTGTTGCTAACATCATCTTCTTTCCTGAGATGTAAATAGTCCCTTTCCTTTCTCTCCTCTCCAGATTACCCTCCTTTGCTTTCCTAAGGAGAGGGCACAAAGCTTCCTCTTCGATTTTTCCACTTTCTAGTTCAAGTACAAGAACATTTATATTTTGCCACTCAGCCCCTGATCACTCAACTTATATTCCTTGGATACCTGTTCTCGAAAAGACAATGTGGTGATGTTATGGGAGTTGCAAGAGGTATCAGTCTCTAACAGATGACATGAGAAAGATATAGAATTGATATGGCTACTTAAGTTTAAATTAATTAAAATTAAATAATATTCAATAAAGCTGTTTAAAAATATTAAGTGATTTTAAAATTCTGTTGTTAGTCACAGTTGGCCACATTTCAAGTGCTCTGTAGCACATAATGTTTAGTAGCTACTGTAGTAGCTACTGGTTTAAAAACTTCCTGTTCAAAGTACAATTTATGAAGCTTCAAGGCACACTTATTAGAAATTCACAACCTGTATTATAACAAGATCTCCAAATAATACCTGTATACATCAGGGTTCGAGAAGAGCTGCTTTAGAATATCAACAGTTCCAAAACAGAAAGGTGAGGTTTCAGGAAGAACTGATGGGATTCCCCTGTTAGTAACTAGAGTGAGAAGTAAAACTGCCTCCCACATTTTGAAAATCAGGAATTTCTCAATCAGTAGGTTGTTAACCTGTGATTTGTCAGTATTTTACTATTTGGATTCATTTTAACACGTAAGATTGCAATTGAGAATCGTGTTGCCTTAGAGGAAACACTGATTTATGACAGTCATTACTAGCAAATCCCACTACCTATGGAAAAGTGTCTGATAGTCAAACTAGTAACATATCTCCAAGTACCCGCTACCTTCAGATTAAGCAGAGAAGAAAACAACCACTCTGCCGCAGTCTCGTCCCTGCCTCTGCCCAGTCCCTCAGACACATCCAGCCTGCATAGGGCCTTGCCACTTTTTCTTATGTGCAAGAATGGAGAGAAAGAAGAAAAAATCCATTTAAATCATAGAATGCCTCTTCTTGCTTTTGGACCTTTCCAGCTGTCCAAACTTGATCACCTTTCTGTAGGGCTCTTCAGTTCTCAGAACTGCCTTCCTCAAGGATTTAAAAACCCCTTGGTGAGAATCTTGTGGGAATCTTACTTTCCTTGTGCTATAATATAAATCTCAGTAATGGATGTCATGCAAACTTGAACAGTTTACAAAAAAAGGAATTCTGAATCTCATGGACCAAACAAGTGTTCATTTAGTAATCAGTTATGAAGCGGATAACAGGGAAATTTAATTGTGAGCAGCTTAGCAAGAGTGCTGTAAACACTGGTGGATGAAAACCAGTATTTTATTGATGAAAATTTTAGACATATATTTATTTCATCAGGCGCATAGTGTATTTCTAACAGAAGAAAGCATCGCATTTAAGAAGCCAGACTGAAGAAGCTATTGTCCTTTATTTACTTATTTTTTGGCCCATGCCACAGAGTGAAAGTGACCCATTGTATCGCTCGCTATAAGCCAGATTGTTAAATGTGCTCTTGTGAAAGTGAGTATCCTACTTGCAACTCCTGTAGCAGATGGACTGTCACCAAGATGTCTTTTAGCAGGCCAATATTGAATCCTCAAATTGAAAAAAAAAAAAAAAAAATTTACTTCCTTCTAGGACAGAGAACAAGAGCTGGAGCAGTTGACCAAAGAGCTGCGGCAAGTCAATCTCCAGCAGTTCATCCAGCAGACAGGGACAAAAGTTACCGTTTTGCCAGCAGAGCCCACTGAAGTAGAGGCCTCACATGCAGACATAGAAAGGGGTAAGATGTTGAGAAATCTGCTTTTATTCCTCCCCACCCCCCACTGGTTAACTTTAAATAAACTTACATTCAGTAAAAATATTATCAAAACTAATTCTTCTACCACTCTAAAAAAATTTTGATATACTTACTGTTTCTTGGGAAAATAATAATATCTGGGTTAATTATTTACTCAGATGAGCATGAAATCACGAAATCATGTCATGTATCATTTTCTTGAAGTATATGAGTTACAGTCTTTTTGAGTTTTAGCTTCTCTCTGTTTCTAACGCCCTTTCTTCCTCTCTTAAAATTAATGAATTTGTGCTGTATATGTGCATATGGTCTGAACAACCAAGAAAGAGAAGCAAAATGCTCACCTTCATGAAAAAAATCATTAACCGTTCAAATCACTGAAAACTTGATTTATCAACTGAGAGGGTGAAGGAGAGTTAGCTTTGTCCTCTCGCTCCTCCCAGACCCGCAGGGGATTGTAATTGGTATTATATGTTCTTTGATTCTTTAAAGCTGGAAAAGTTATAATTTTTCATATTGCTAACTACTCCAAGTTGATGAGTACATCAAATGACTTTTTTTTTATTTCCTGTCTAGAGGCACCATTCCAGTCTGGGTCCCTGAAGCGGCCTGGTTCCTCTCGGCAACTCCCTAGTAATCTTCGTATTCTACAGAATCCTATCTCATCTGGTTTTAATCCTGAAGGCATATATGTATAACATTATCTGTCTTTAGGGGAGAGACCCCTTAAAGGTACAAAGGACAGTAAAAATTCTTTCCTTGATTTGTGCCAATGATGAACAGAGGATATATTTCACAAGCCACTGTATCTTTCTTCTGTCCTAAATTGCATACCACTTGGAGCCATACCCTGTGCACTGATGCTAAAGAACAAAGAAACTGTTTTCACACATCAACAGTGTTGACATTTTTATCCAGCAGCTGTAATGCAAAGCCTTCATTTTTATTTGTAGCATTTTGAGAGCGTTAGGAAAGTATTATACTATGTGTATACATAAATAAAACCGTGACTTAAGAGTGAAGAGAAATATGTGACTGGCTTAGTTTAATTTATTCCATGTAATCAATTAATGTGTGAATGCTGATGTTTTAATGTTTTTTATGAATACTTATCCCGTGACTGAATTACATAACGTATTGTGTGATTATGACTTTGTGTGCATGTTCCCAGACGCCCTCCATACGTTGCTGATTTACAACTACACAAGTGTCATAGGGTGCTCCACCATTAAAACTAACTCCAAAAGAACCCACTTGCATTTATTTTGTGAACCTGTCCTAGCCATTGCTTAATTAGGTAAAATAATTCAGGTTTTATTTTTAATCTGGAGTTTAACCTTTTCTTTACAATATTTCCTGTAGATGACTGACCACATACGAGAACAGAAATACTTGCATGAGGCAAATTGTATGTTTAAAAAGTTTGCAGTACTTTAGACATTGTTGATCAAGATGTAATTGTTGAATATCTACCCAAACAGGCATGGGATTTCCTGATACATTTAGTGTTTCATTTCTGCCCTGCCTTAGCATTTTACTCTTGTGAATCCTCAAGAGTTTTCCATAATACCTAAATTAGAGACATCTGAGGATCAAATCATGTCAGTCTACTTCAGGAAGGTTGCTTTAAGTGACCTATTTTAAAATAACCCACTTCGTATGTATGGTCTTTCAGTGTAAGCACACGGTTAATATATCGCTTGCACATAATTTACTCTGTACGTTATGGACTATTGTGATTCCTCCAGTCACTTAGAGAGAAGGTGATTGGAGTTAGGTACTTTTTACCAAGGAAAAAAAGTTAAATTCAGTGTTTTTATTTTTGAGCTTGATTTTACAGGACATTAATCTCTACTTGTACATGTATTTTTTTTATTTATAAAACCAAAAATGAGTCAGCACCCCTCCCATGAATAGTGGTTTAAATAACTAAGATTCACAAGTAATATCTAGATGGATGTGGTCAGATACCTTTAGCCATTTTTACATTCCCTCTGATCATAATTTGGTACAATAGAATTAAGACCTTATTCTGAAATTTGAAATTTTTAATTCTGACAAAAATACAGTCTCTGTATCATTTACATGCATCAAAGTAACAGTGGATTAGTATATTATACCATGGTAACAATAAAAAGATGTAAGTTATATCTTATGCATGAGGGCAACTTTGGATGTTTTAACATATTAGACTTATTTTTGGTTTAATGTATGCTGAGAATGCTGCTATACTTAGGTTTCCAATGAAAATTTTAAGAATGGCTATGAAAATACATAGATGCTTCTAGAGGACTGAAAGTAATTACGCAGAGTTGCCTTTTCTAGTCCAGCTAAATGGCAGACCTCATCTAAGGGTATTATTTTCTTTGGGTTCTTGGAGTTATTGAGTTGACCTTGCCATTATACTGTTCTTCAAATAACTTGAAAAATACATGATTCTTACTTAAATAACCACAACATATACACATTTGCTTTCAATTTATAATTTATTTTATATCTGCATACAATTAAAAATGAGGATTAAAAAATCAAAATAATTTGTAGATTTTGTGACAGTAGTGATTTATCTATACCTAATATATGCCTTATTTTTAAAGGATTCCATTCTATACTAAAAGTTATTTTATTATTGTTCAGGGAAATTGTTACCTTATTCACAAAGAAAAACATTTTTGTAAATTGATCACATTTAAGTCAAATGTTAAACTAAAGATATAAAGATATTAAACTCTGATTGTAAATTGCAAAGTTGCCTTGGCACGCCATGAGAAACACAAAGTCAATACCCAAATTAATTATAAATTATTATTAGCATTAACCTAATAACTCTAAAGAGAGACTGGCAGCATCCTTTTAACTTGTAGTAAGTAGTCTTGGGTTCCCCAGCATAGTATCATAGGTTACCTCTCCGACAACTTCATCCAAACTCTCAAGCTGCCAAATAATCTTTACGGACCTAATTACAGATGAAAATACTACTTCCTGGGTAAGAAGAGTATATACACATGAAGTTGATGAATACATTGAGCAGCTATACTTTTTAATCAGTTGTATCACTTCTGGAAATACACCTCTAAGAAATGTTTTCTAAGTTTTTTTAAATAGTGCAAAGAAAATTCATTTCCCTAGAACATCTAAAAATATTTTAGTCTGTCGCTAATTATTTTTACCCATGAATACAGATGAATTAGATTAAGTGCCACGTCTTTGGATACATTTTGGAGGGGAGGCGGGGACAGTGGTATATGGAAATACCAAATATAAAATTTTGCATCTGGAGAAATATTCAGGTTCTAAATATTAAATTAGATGACAAGGTTTTTTTATATATATATATAATACTGCAGGTTGTTTTATTGTGATTTTCTACAAAATTTAAAATACATTAGAAGATAATTTTTTTTAACCAAGGGATAATTTGAAATAGCATTAGTATATTTGACCCATAAGTATCTGTCATCCTCAGAGAATGATTTGTAGTGGGTTGCCTCAGTCCTTTTGTTGTTCTTATGAGATACTTTGGTTTGTTAGCATTTGTTTTTTGTCTTGATGCACAGGGAACTTATATGTGAGACTTCAATTGGTATTAATTCCATTTAAACCCCTCAGTCATTACTAAACTAATTATCAATTCCTATAGTTCAAATTTGTCATAAACTAGAGCTAAAATAAGACAGATACTGTAAAAAATATAGAATTTATGGTGTGAATGTGAATTTTAAGTGTTCAAGAATAGCAAATAAGCACTTGCTTCCAGAGCATAAATTTTTTGCATGCATTAAAAGAAAATTTTCTTTGTGAATAAAAACAAAACAGACTTTAGAGAAAAGAAACTTTATCAAAACCATTTCTGTGAACATCTTTCCAAATTAGAACTATAATAATGGATTGAGTAAATAAGGAAAAAGCAAAATCTCTTATTGCAGGTGTGCAAAGGACATGAGCAGATGGGCAGTTCCCTGTGTGCATTGCCTTTGAAAAATCAGGCCTTAATTTATATGTAAATAACAATGCTATGTTCACATCCTTCTTCTACCTGTCTTTATTAGTCTGTATTGTATAAAACTTAGGTCACAAGTATTACTTTTATATTATGTCCATTTTTTTAATTGCATGTTTATACTATTTGCTACAGTATTTTTAAGTTTTGGGTGAAGGCCACCAGCTGTATGGAGAAGACAAAACAATCACTATTTATTCAGTATTGCTGCTTTACATTTCCAGAATAAGCTTTCGATGCCAGGTCAGTGACTGCCTGAAAGCTGCAGGAGCTCTATTCCAATGCATTTTATATATTTTTAGAAAACAAACACAGATAACTATTTAGTATGCTAATTATATTAAACCAGCAGAAATATAAAGGCAATAAAGTATATACATATATATGGGGGAGGGAAGGGGTGAGGAAAAGGTTAAAAAAAATAGGTTTACAGCCAGATATGGTGATAGCCCTAAATGTATTTCTCAATTTGTCTTTCTTTATTGACCCAAAGAAGATTTGAGTTGCTGCAGCTTTAAACAGAAAATTGCCACGTTCACTAATTGTAGACACATAAATATGCTTTTAGTACTGCTTTGCTCATGTACAAATAAAATATCTGTAATCTGTATTATATGTAATTATTATTTTCTTTTGACTTTCACTTCAAAATGTATATTTTCTGATTATTATCATGAGCTGTAAAACAAAGGATCAATATCTGATATTCTCCCAAATAATAAATTTTCAGGATTCATTGGGGTATTACATTGCTGGTTTGTTTCTTATGTATTTAATATTTTTAAATATAATTTTATTTCCTTTAAAAGATTTCCAAGAGAATAGGTGTGCATATCAGTGACAAGGATTACATTTTTCCCAAAAGTAATGTTATAACTAAAGAATCGTCTATTACTGAAAAGGCAGCTGCCTTCATGCAAGTAAAACTGAATAAGTTGAAGTTAGATCTCGATCAAGAAATTATACATATGAGTAATAGTATATTATAAAAGCAAAAATGAAACGAGAGACTTAAAATAATTCAAAATAGTCTGTGCCTAGAGGGGGACTGTTAGAATTTTAATTAACCATTTTACCCTCTTCTCAAGTCATATGTTTTGTTAATCAATGTGATTTGCTTTGTACCTTAAGGAGGTTATAGTCCAAAGAGCACTAAAAAGAACAAGAGTGCCATGGAAACACACCAGAAGGGCTTTACCCCCAGAAGGGGTGTTGGCAAACCCTGGAGAAGGGATCTAAACCAGGGAAGGCTATCTAGCACAGATGAAGATGGGAAGATGAAGAGCCTGTGAGGCTGCGACCAGACAGTGAAGGGTTGGGGAGCGCTAAGAGGAAAGGTAGGTAGGCATCAGGTAAATCATAAGTGGCCTTGATTGCCATGAGGACTTTGGACTTCCTCCTGAATGCCATGGAGGAGTTTTAGCACAGAAGCGAAATGATCAGGTTAGCACGTTAGGAAGATCCTTCTGGCTGGCTTTATGGAGAAATGACTGAAAAAGGATCTAGAGGTAGAGACCTTCCTGAGTCATTGGCTGTGCGGCAAGATGCTTTTAAGCCTCATTAAAAACGCCTGGATCCCCGTGAAGCCCTACTACACCCCGGTTTACCAGGAGAACTGGGTAGGAATGGGGTTGATGGGCTTCATCGTTACAAAACTGCAAGTGCTGATAAAAGAAGTAAAGCTTTGAAAACTTTGAGTCCTAGACCTGCTCATGGTCATTAACCAGTGCTACCAGGAGTGCACATCAACTGGGACATCAGTCTAGCTATAAATTTCAGCAAGCTATGCTAGTGGAACTGTGTACTTTACTTGTAGAAGTGTTGTTTCCTGCGTGGCATGAATAAATATACCTGGCGGATATAAAAAAACAACAAGAAGAAAGACAGCTTAAGAGTACTATAGGAATTCAGGCCAGAAGTGATGGCAATCCAAAATAAGAAAGCAGCTGTTGGGGTTTAGTCAACATTTTTATTGAACATCTACTTTGTGCAAGGAGAAGAAGAGAACCAAACAGGTTGTAGACATCCTAAGTAAACAGTAGCAAAAGGACTTGATATTTATATCATAGAGGCTCAGTAAAAAACACTCCAGGAATTTGACAGCTATCCACAGCCTTAAGTGGCAAGTGGAAGCAGTGCTGTGAGTCTCCTGATGAGTAGTCACACTGTTTTGTGTGCTGGAGGCAAAAAGATTGGAACAGGAGGAAGGGAAGAGAGAATAAAGATATGGAGAGGATGCGTTTGAGAGGTAGGCTTACCCCTTGCAGAGAGGCCCTGCAGTCTTTCCTGCAAGAACGGCATGGATTTGGGGAAAAGGCTCTTTGCAGCACCAGATTTACTCTTCTGAGTCTCCCTCGGGTGTGCTGGAATCCCATTTTCCCAGCGTTATACTTGACTTTTATCTAGTCCATTATCATTCACCTGCCATGAGTATGTGTCCAACATGATAAAAATGTCTGACTATGGTCCAAAATGAAAGGAAGCGAAGAAGGTAGTCACTGTACATTCATCTCTGACAAGTCAGTATATACAAGTTTCCCCTGCAACTGCTAGCAGCATGAAAACCAAACAGATGAATTGGAATACTTAGTAACAATTTTTTTAAACATAAAATCATAGACACTAGGCGAAGAACATAATGGGCTAAGATGCTGTGTGGCAACAAGCACCACATGAAAGGAGGCTGGGGACAGCAGGGACATGTACAAAATGTACACCAGGAGCCACCCACTCGGAAACTGGCACACCCAACCCCGCCACGACCCACTTTCACATCATGCCCACCAAACCCAACCTGCGTTAAAACCTTCAAAGACTAACATAGTTGAGCCAAATACAGTTCCTTGTAATTTCCAACTTTCCTTAAGACCACATAGAAGAAACAATTTTTCGCCAATATCACAGCACTTCAGATATTTCAAAACATCTATTATGTCCCCTAGTGTTATCTTTTCCAGGCCGAATAGTCACAATTCTTTGAAAAGGTATAGTTTCCAGTCCCCTCTCTCCTGAACATGCTCTAGACCAATGGTCCCCAACATTTTTGGCACCAAGGGCCGGTGCTCCTATGAGAATCTAATGCCTGGTGATCTGAGGTAGAGCTGAGGTAGTGATGCTCGCACTGGGAAGCAGCTGCAAATACAGATGAGACTTCACCTGCCACTCACTTCCTGCTGTGCAGCCAGGTTCCTACAGGCCACAGATTGGTAGCGGTCCGTGACCAGGGGGTTGGGGACCCCTGCTCTAGACCACTTCTGAATGTTGAACCAAGACTGATCACAAAGCTTCATTTATAATTTGACCAGATCAATATGAAGGAACTTGATTCATTGTTTTCCAGTCTAAAACGGTGAATGGGGTCAGGAAGGTGGGTGGTTGGTTACATTTTTACGATCCTCATCTCATTATTGAATCATTGCTAAATGATTTCGCTAAATGAGTTTGCTAAAATCCTGTCTTTTCCATATTTTCTGCTGTCGGTGAAATCTTTCCTAATTTGTATATGTGTAACAGTTTTAGGATACATGTGCAGAATCTTACTTTATCAAAATACTTATCATCTCTAAACATCTTGAAGGTAATAAATTCCAGATGGAAGATGTGAGCTTTAATGTCAGATCGATGTTGAGGTAATTTTGTCAAGGTTAGAGTGCTACTAGAACACATACAGGAGGTAAGTGGGAATATTAGAAAAGATTTTATTGAGGAGATGAATTCAACTCTAGAAGAGTAAATAGGCTTTTACTTAATCATATTTATTGAATGCCTACTATGTGGTGGATACTGGAGATACAGCAGTGAACTACAAAAAAAAAAAAAAAAGATCTCTGCCAACGTGGAGCTTGTATTCTAGAGGGAAAAAAAGGAATGAAGAAAAATATGTAGTATTTTTCATTGTGACAAGAGCTAAGGGGGTAGGGGAGCGGGGGGAAGCAGCAAAGAGCCATAGGAAGTGCCAGAAGTTGGAATTCCGATTGTAGTTTTATATAGGTGGCCTAGGGAGATCTCTCTTAAAAGATGACATTGTAGTAAAGACCTCAAGGAAGTGCCGGCACACCCGCAGAAATGAAAAGGAGGTATCTGGACATGTGGACTGCGTTAGGCTTCCGTAGGAAAGATTCAGGATACCTGGGAGGCCTCTGGGGTTGAGCTTTCTGTTTCTAAGCAACTGACACAGAAGGTCCAGGCCTTTTCCTGGCTGTGAGCCAGCAGCCCCTTTCGGTTACTCATTCAGTCCACCAACCTCCTCAGATCAAATAAAGTGAAGGAAGAAGATAGTTTAAAGATATATTTCTTAAATTTTATCTGAATTGAATTATCCTTAACCTTTCCCAAATTGAAATCAAATTCATAGGTAAAATGTCCTTTTATGAATAGACTCAAATTTGTTCTCTCTTTTCTAAAATCATGGCTAAAGGAATATCTTTGAAGATGTTTTACCTTGCTAGATGTCCCCTCCAAATTTAATGCGGCTTTATAACCTAAAGATACATATTTTTCGATTCAAGATCTTAAAACCAAACCATTCCCAAGTGCTCTACTGTACAGTGATCAATGTTATCATCTATGAAAGGGATCTGTAACTTGAGGTCCATGGACTCCTGTGGGGGGTGTGTCTCAGAGACTTCTTGTATAGAGGCTCCCACTATGGACACTTGGGAAACCATAGAACAGTAGAGAGTGCACTGTGTAGAAGTAAAAAGAGGAGGAAGTGATAGGAGACGGGGCCATATTGTGAAGAACTTTGAATTTCATCTGGTGGGCAATGGAGAACCAAAAAGGTCAAGGGACTCTTAAGATTAGATAGCTTTTTAGAAAGTTCACTGTGACAGTGTTGCAGTGAGAAGAGGCTGGTATTAGGGAGACCCACTGTGGCAGTTGCAGTAGACCTGCTTAATTGTTATATCTTCTGCGAAAACTATCCTGATCTTCCATCCCCTCCAAACTCTCTTCTAATAAATAGCATTGACAACTCTTCACCTTGTATCGCCATTTTGCCTGAACATATGTATAACGAAGCCCATGAAAAAACCCAGACAGGCCTAAATGGAAAATTCCTAGACTTCAGTACAAGGACAGATAGAGAGATTGCCCAAATGATGGCACAGCACAGATTTCAAAGCCTAGCATCTGACATGAGGCCCAAATTGACACATAAAATTAACATCAAATTAACAGTTTATACATATATGTGCATATATATGTATGTGTGCGTATGTATATGTGCATGTATGTGTGTGTGTACATATATGTATATATATATATACACACACACACACACACACACAATTGTGTTACATAATATTTAGATTACAGATTATTTTTGTATGCTCAAGTAAACCACTGGAATTGTTATATGATTATTGCTCTTTGACTATAACCCTCTTGCCAAGGGCTCTGAAAGCCTTATAAACTTATAAGATTTAGAGAAAACAGTGGATCAACTCTTTACAGGGTTTTCTCTACACAAATACTCATGGAGGGCTTCCCCCTGCAATGCGGAAAATGGAACTTCAAATGGATCTACCAAATGGAAGTCTGGGCAAGTTCTTGAAAATCTGTTTTATAGGAAACAGTTCACATCTAACTATTTAATATACTGTTAGTGGCTTATTACCTTGACAGTTTCTTTTTTTATGACACAAGCAAATAAGAGAGAATGCTTCCAAACCAGATTTTTACTTTTTTTTCATTTGCTGTCTCCTCAAAGTTATATCCCTGATTATTCTAAATTAACAAACATTCGG